CATTCAATCGATCTCTCGATCGTCCATCTCGTTTGTAAGTTGCACTCATCTCCATCTGTTCAGTTTTTAGTGCCAACATTAGTGAATAAATCCATTAGAGCGTTTTGAATAAGAAGCCCCTTGTGGTGATTTCTTCTAAGCTATGCTCAATTTGAAGTTCTCTATTTCGGGCTAATTCCTCAATCAAATCATTCTCCTAAAACCATCTCTTTACAACTTCTTATCTTCTCTAAATTTAATTCTACCTCGCATTTGAAGGAGTTTGTTGCAATCTACCTTATTGGTTTTCACCATGTTTGGGCAATTGACATAGGCGTTAACTATCATGTACAGTTGGATCATTGGAAACATGGTTTTTCCCAGATCCTTTGGAGGTTTTGCAATGGCTTAAATGCTAGATGTGGTGGTGGGGTTGACAATGATGCTTCTTCAGGTGGTGGCAGTAGAGTTCATTTAGGCTCATGTGTTATTTTAGGATTTTGGAAATTTTGGGTGTGTTACAAAGGGAAGGTGGGGTTCTCACACACAGACTAACAAGGTGCCATGAGGGTTTGAACATGAGACTACTAATCTGCAAGTCAAAGCCATTTTTCATTGGATTAGACCCCGTTGGCCTATTTGAAATTATATTTAACTGTAGTGATGTGGGTAATTGTTGGTGTGTCTGCTTTAATGTGCCTTTTTTAGCGTGGTAGTTTTGTTGCCCTCTGAAACTTGGTGTTAGTTTTATTGATTTATCGAAAACACAAGAAAAACATATGTGTGTGGTTGGCATCCTTATCATCAATTTCTAGCGTGTAGAATTAATCTCCTATACTTGCAGAAATTAATATATATTAATTATATGTAAGGAGAATCTTGTAAAGGAGTTTTTGAAATTGACTTCAATCAACTTTCCTTGACACTAATATTAAAAAATTCCATGAAAATGAAAGGTTTTTTTTTTTTTTTTTCAAATAGATTTTTGCATAATTGAAAAGGGGGCTTAAACGCAGATGACATATTTTGCACTATTGCAACCACAGTTTTTTTTGTAACTGATCGACAAAAAAAGTAAAGTAGGTTTTACATATGAGTTCATTTAGGCAAAAAAAAAAATTATTTATAGATTTTTTTTCTTATGCTTATTCCAAGTAAAGTAGGTTTAACCGATTGGCATTTCTCAAAATGGTTACTATTTCGATCTTTTGCCTGAATTGGTAGATGATCGTAGTGTGTTGCATTAAAAACTTAACCTCATCCAAGAGAACTCTTTTTGTCTATCATTTGTAGTTTTACTTATGTTTTGTTATGTATCAATGGCATAGCCTAAAATATAAACTCGTTCTTCACTCATATTATAATAAATAAAGATTGATTATACTACATGATTGTATTCAATACTATACAAGAATTTCTCATTGAGCAAAAGAGATTTTTTTTTACCCTGGAATTAAATGTATTAGAAGAGAACTTCTAATTGTAAACAAATAAGCCCCTAAACTTAGACATTTTGTTTTTATCTTTAAAATTTAAAGCGTCCTTGAAAGCCATGGTTTGCAAAAACTGATCGGGCTCAATACTTGATACTTGTTGCTCCATCTCATTAAAAAGTAGTTTGTGTAAACCCATAAATTTGGGGCCGTTTCATAACCATTTCAATTTTAGTTTCTAATTTTCATTTTTTGTGCTAGAGTACAGAGGAAAAAAAGGGAGAATAGAAGTGAGAATGGGAGTGGAGATGAGATTGAGATGGAAGATGAGAGGAGAGGATGGGAGGGAGGTGTAACAAAAGGGAAAAAGAAAAACTAAAAACTGAAATCTATTTAAAATTGTTTTCACTTTCAAGATTTTGTTTTCACTTTTGTTACTCCTCCCTTCTCATCCTCCCTTTTCATCCTCACTCCCATTCTCACTCTCATTTTCCTCTATACTCTAGCACAAAAAATAAAAACTAAAAACTAAAATTAAAATGATTATCAAACAGGACCTTAGTGTCACACAGAAAGTACAGGCACATGTCAATTAAGGCCCTACTGATCAAAAAAAAAATTTAAGGCCCATGATATGCTTCCTATACCGTTTCATTTGAATTTGTTTATATATGCCAAGAGAAAACCTTAAAATAATATGCCACTCAAAACTCTCTTCCGTACATCAAGGAAGTAAAAGACAAATATATTTTTTTTTTAAAAAGGGCTCTTCCCAAATAAGGCTTTCAAAACTCCTTCAAGAGAAAAAGCAGTTAAAAGCCCCATTATAAAGAACAAAACTCATCAATCCAACTGTTATTGCACCCATTAATAATGGATAGATGAGGATTTTCTTTCTCCCTAAAATTTGATTCTTGAAGTATTTATCACTAATATTAACACTATCAGTGCGGTGACGTTAATTAATCAAGTAACACAAATAAAGGGAAAGTGGTGGAGCCCATAAAGTAAAGGTGAAAGTGAAACGCAAGTTGATGGAGGAGTATTAAATTGGTGCTAAACCTACAGACTAGGTACATCAAAGTATTGAATGATGTGGTTCAGACTTATACTATTGATATAAGAAATGAGTTGATATTACTCGTCTATAAATAGACACAATGTATGTGAAATATTGCAGTCAGTATAACTTGCTTAGAGCATCTACAATCATGCTCCCTATTTTTTAGTTATAATTTAGCTAAAAATACACAAAAGTTATTTTAGGAGCTCTTTATAAAATTTGAACTCCAATCATACTCCCTAATTTAGGGAGTCATAAACACTATAGTTATTTTTTAGGGTAAATTACTCAAATGATACCCAAACTTGTACGCGATTTACATTTTGGGGCCTGAATTAAATTTTTCGTTCAAATGGTCCATCAACTCTATATTAATTACTCAAATGGTCCCACCGTATAATTTTCTGTTAAATTTAACCAAATTTTAGGGTAAATAATGACCAATTTTCCCTCATATTTAACGGAAATATTGACATAATATAACGGTGGGACCATTTGAATAATTAATATAGAGTTGATGGACCATTTGAACGAAAAATTTATTTCAGGCCCCAAAATGTAAATCGCGTATAAATTTGGGGACCATTTGAATAATTAACCCTTATTTTTTAATTCAATATGATTGGTCCATCTTTATAAAAAAAATAATATAAAAAATAATTAGCATTAATTAAAAGTTTAAAGTGTGCATAAAACAAAGCAGCATTAAATTATAGAAAGCCAGTAGGAGTCCTTTCTCTCTCTTCAAATTTAGGAGCTCCTAGAAGTCTCCATATTTTAGAAGATGGATAGAGAGCATGGTTGGAGTTGTATTTTTCCAATTCCTCTCTAAAATTTGTCAGAGGAGGTGGTTTAGGGAGCCCATTGTGGATGCTCTTAGAAAACAAAATACACAATCCGAGACGAGAAGCTCGAACTATACCAAAATGTATCACAACTTCTTTACTTTTCTTTCAGCATTCACATAACTATTCCAAACTCACCATGTTAATACAGACTCATATTTCATACTCATATATTACATTACAACATTACATATATAATAAATTGAAACTTCAACCTATTACATAATTGATCCTTCAAAGTTTATTACAACAATGAAAGCAACACACACTTCGCAAAACTGTACAAGAAGCCTCTTGCACTACAAAAAAATTGCTCATAGGACACTATATTCTTTTGTACTCTTTGAGCTTAAAGGCACAAATATTTGTGTTTATTGTCAATAACCACAGTTCACCCACATTTTAAGTGTCGATTTTCTATATAGGAGTTTCCATTGATTAGAGCAACTCCACCCATAAGGGCTAAGTCTAGGGCAAGGGCAAGCAAAGGCTGCCACTATTCACGTGAATAGTGTCAGCCCTTGCATTTGTAGTTCCACCCATGAGGGCTAAGTCTAGGGCAAGTCTAATGCAATTACTATTCATTGTACTTTATTTCCTATTTTTTTACACTTCAAACCATTAATTTTGATAATCTTTTGTAATTAAATTTTCGGATAAGATTTTTGGTTGTCACATGTTCATTAATTTTCAGAAAAGATTTTCGGATGAGAATCTCGGTTGCCACGTGTCTTATTCCAGATAAAATTTTCAGATATTAATTAAAAAAAATTATAATCTCATATTTCAGATAAGATTTTCCCCCTCTAAAATTGTGTCACGTGGCCCATGTCAGATAAGATTTTCAGATATGTTTAAAAAATTATAATCTCATATTGCAGATAAGATTTTCACCCTCTAAATTTGTGCCACGTGTCATCTCTATCTTCTGGATCCCTCTATAAAACTACTCCATCAACTCATACCTCTCACACCATCTCTTATCTATTCCTTCATTTCTCAGATTTTATAAAACACTTTCTACTCTCAATGTCAAACTTGAGGAGGGTGTTGGAGAGGCAACAGAAAGAAAGGGAAGAAATCCAGCGTAGACGTGCTGAAGAAGATCGAGACGCCGATGAAGAAGAGGAACAAATGCTTGCAGCAGCGGTGTGTATGCTTAATCAATCAAGGCAACACCGTCGTCGTGCCCCGAATATAGACAGACATAGGGAC